ATGATTAGTTTGTGTCATTAAGTTTGTGTTAATGCTGACAAAATAATTTGTGAAGCTTTAAGAAATTGTTAGCAAAACATTTAAAACACAACATTTATACATATATCAGAAACCAAGTATTTACCCTTGTTTTTTTTAACTAACTTTCATTTTGATATTTATTAATGATTCTTATGATAGAGTGTTGCATACCATTTATTTATATTGTGCATTGACACATGATCAAATACAAAGTACATTTTTCTGTTTATTTCTCACAGCCCTTAACACTACATGTAACAACCTTGATGAGTTTGAGTGTGGAAATGGAGATTGTATTAACTACACGCTGACTTGTGATGGCATGGCCCACTGCAAAGACAAGTCTGATGAGAAACAGTCCTACCTGTGGGTAAGTGGAAGCTTTCTCTTAGTCAAAACACTTCAAACTATATTTTTGTTGTTGACATTTGTAATGTATCATTGCGTGTCTGGTTCTCAGCCAACCGGGTGTGCAAGAAGGGTTACAGACGCTGTGTAAACAGCCGCTGTGTGGGGCACAGCTCCTGTGCAACGGGCAGGACGACTGCGGGGACAATTCTGACGAAGTCTTCTGTAACGGTGAGTCCAGTCTCCAGATTAAAGGAGTTCTTACGGTCAAATTACATTTTCAATTTAATAAACATTGTCTCATGTTTTTGTGTTTGTCAGCCACACTGTGCACAGTTGATCAAGTTCAGTGCAGAAGTGGAGGCTGCATCTCCAACTCCAGCAAGTGTAACCAGAAAGTGGACTGTGAAGATGCCAGTGATGAGATGAACTGCAGTAAGTCAAAATGATCCGATTCATTCAGTAAAGTAAATGTTGTATAAAATGGCTAACACTTTCTACTTGCCTACAGTAAAAAAATATTGCTGCTGTTTTTTTTCAAGCTGCTACGGACTGCTCCAGCTACTTCCATCTTGGAGTGAAGGGAGTGACATTTCAGAAGTGCGAGTTCACCACACTCTGCTATGCCTCTTCATGGATGTGTGACGGAGCTAATGACTGTGGAGACTTCTCAGATGAAAGGAATTGCCCAGGTATTCTACTTGCATATTTTCAACAAAAAAAATCCACAGATGGATCAGAGCGAGATATCCATTTTGGATTGTTCCAAGTGGAACAAAAACAGCACATGTTTTCATCCATTAAATTGTAGTTCGGGAGAACGTTCTCCTTAAAAATCGTTTCAGTGTTAAAATGTGTTTCCTGTTTTTCTTCTCATTCTGGCTCAAATCCTAATATATTTTCTCCTCTGACTTGCCAATTCTCTGTCACTGGTAGGGAGCAGGAAAACCAAGTGTCCAATGCATTTCTTCACATGTCCTAGTGGACGTTGTATCCCTTTGAGCTGGACCTGCGATAAGGAGAATGACTGTGAGAACGGTGCAGACGAGGCTAACTGTGGTAAGTTTAGATACCAGAGCCCCAAACAAGCTAAATTGCAACAGACTGTTTTGGCACTTGTATTTAGTTATTTATACATTCTTTCTGGACCTCTAGATAAGTTCTGCTCAGCCACTCAGTTTGAGTGTGGGAACCATCGCTGCATTCCCAACCGCTGGGTGTGTGATGGAGCCGACGACTGTGGAGACAGCAGTGACGAGGACAGCAAGTGCAGTGAGTGTTGGACACAAATCATTAATGAATATATATACAAGAAACATTAACATTAATATATTAAGCACACAAGGTATATTGACATCAGTGGGTTCTGTGGAAAAAATACAGTTGAACATGCATAACATTATTAGACTATTATTGTGATAATATTTAGATTTGAGCTTAAATTCATCTGGTGACTACTGCACAATAATCAAGTGTAATATGGACTAAAATATTAGCATGTAGGCAACACATTTTAGGTTTTTGTCATAGCTTAAAAACAAATGTTATTTGGGATTATACAGTTTTCACGAAACAAAATCTCATTTTAAATAATCTATTTCCATCCCAGAAACCAAAACCTGCAGTCCTGAGGCGTTCCAATGTCCTGGATCACACATGTGTATCCCTCAGCGTTGGAAGTGTGACGGAGACAAAGACTGTCCTGATGGGGCTGACGAGAGCGTGAAAGCCGGATGTGGTGAGTGCAGGCTGGGGTTGGATTTGGTCAAAATAAGAATTCATAGAGGCAAAGAAAGACATACATCTGTACTGCACATGGAGGGGTGCATTTACCTCATTCACTCACCAAATATGTATATGTCTCAGTGTTCAACGACACGTGCAGCAGCAACGAGTTCATGTGCCAGAACCGACAGTGTATCCCCAAGCACTTTGTGTGCGACCATGACAACGACTGCAGCGATGGCTCAGATGAGTCCCAGGAGTGTGGTGAGTGAAACCATGACCTCTTATTCCTGATGGGCAGATTTAAAAAAAAAAAAAAAAAAAAAAAAAAAAAAACTCTCCTCCTCCTCCTCCCTCCTCCTCCTCCTCCTCCTCCTCCTCCTCCTCCTCCTCCTCCTCCTCCTCCTCCTCCTCCTCCTCCTCCTCCTCCTCCTCCTCCTCCTCCTCCTCCTCCTCCCTTTTAACAATGAGTTCAACCCTCTGTGCTTTTTTTTGCTGCAGAATATCCGACATGTAGACCCAGCGAGTTCCGCTGTGCCAACGGACGCTGCCTCATCCAGAGTTCATGGGAGTGTGACGGAGACTTTGACTGCCATGACCACTCTGATGAAGCCCCCAAGAACCCACACTGCAACGGCCCAGGTTAATTTCACACACGCACTCCAGAAGAAATTGTTCTTTAATTTACATTATTTTATATCTATTAGATTAATCAAGACGTTAATAAACACCTGTGTGATATGGACAATGTGGACAAGCAACATTAAAGCATTAGCAGCAGATCAAAAGTAAAGTAAGAAAACATGGATAAGGCCCATCCATCATAAGAACATGTTATTGCACATAAAAGTGACCAATACAAAAAAACATATTTGAAAGCACTCTCAAGAGCTGTGACTAAATGTTGAGAATCTGAAATGATACTAGCTGCTGGTTAACATTTTGTTTCTGATTTCCTATCTTTCTTACCTTTCACAGAGAAGAAATGCAACGACACTGGATACGCTTGCAACAATGGGAACTGTATCAATGAGACATTGCTCTGTGACCATAAGGACGACTGTGGCGATGGCTCCGATGAGCTGAACTGTTTCGTTAACGAGTGCCTGAACAGCAAACTGAGCGGCTGCTCCCAGCTCTGTGAAGACCTTAAAATAGGCTTTAAGGTAACAGGCAAACACTGAGCAAATCTGACTTTAGCTCTCCACTAACAGCATGCACTGTTGCTTACCTGCTTTGCTCTTTGCCCCCTCACAGTGTAGATGCCATCCTGGCTTCCGTCTGAAAGATGACGGGAAGACTTGTGTCGACATAGATGAGTGCACAACCACCTATCCCTGCACGCAGCGCTGCATCAACACACACGGCAGCTTCCACTGTCTGTGTGTGGAGGGTTTCCAGCTTAGCCCTGAAAACCCCACCATATGCAAATCCACCTCTGGTAAGAAACAAGACAAGTTTAATAACATTCAGGAAGCGTTTTGGATAAATCTAATCGTATATGATGTCTCCCCCTCCCTGCAGATGAAGAACCCTTCCTGATATTTGCCAACCGCTACTATCTGAGGAGGCTCAATTTAGACGGCTCCAACTACACACTTCTCAAACAGGTGAGACTTTCAGATAAAGCTTATGGAGGGCTTAGAAATCCTGCAAACGGGGGTTTATCTCTGGCCCAGACTGATGCAGCTCCTGTGCTTTGACAGGGCTTGAACAATGCTGTGGCTCTGGATTTCGACGTTCGCGAGGAGAGGATTTATTGGACAGATGTGACCACCCAGGGCAGCATGATCCGGCGCATGCACATCAACGGCAGTGACGTACAGGTCAGTGTGGAGAACGGACATAATAGCAGCATATAAAAAGGAATTCATTCATTTTGCATGACTGTGCAGTAAAAACCAAGGAAAATGAATCAAGAATCCGTGCTAATTTGTCAGGTCCTTCATCGCACATCGCTAAGTAACCCAGACGGTCTGGCAGTGGATTGGGTCGGGGGAAACCTGTACTGGTGTGATAAGGGACGGGACACAATTGAGGTGTCAAAGCTGAACGGAGCGTACCGGACAGTTCTGGTCAACAGCGGCCTGAGAGAGCCCCGCGCTGTGGCTGTGGACGTGCGCTATGGGTAAGAGCGAGACAACTTTAAAAGATCTGGGTCAAAAAGCAGCAGCAAAGATATCTGTGAGCAGGGAATATTTATTTCATTGGTGCACTTAACTATCACAATCAATTAATGTACTCCTGAGTTAACCAACTTAATCAGTTGTTAGCGACAGTACATGTATATTATGTATATTTAAACACTTGTGCGATTTTGCAAGTGGTTTGAAATTCAATGTTTTAGTTAACAAACATGAGATGTCTGGAACGTAGTTGGTGTCAAATTCTGATTTGTAATGACCAATATCCTAAACTAATTCAGAGTATCCCTGACAGGTACCTGTACTGGTCAGACTGGGGAGACACGCCCCACATAGGAAGGATCGGGATGGATGGCTCTAACAGGAGTGCCATTATAGAGGATAAGATCACATGGCCCAATGGCCTCACACTGGACTTTATTAATGACCGCATCTACTGGGCTGATGCTCGGGAGGACTACATCGCATTTGCCAGTCTGGATGGGTCCAACAGACACACAGGTAACACACACATAAACTCATTTAAAGTGTGTTGGTGTCATATTAAAGTTGTTGTTACTAACGTACTTGTCTTTCTACCTTTGCTTCTGTAGTTCTAGTTCAGGATATTCCCCACATCTTTGCTATGACTCTTTTTGAGGAGTACATCTACTGGACAGACTGGGAGACAAAGTCCATCAACAGATGTCATAAAACTCTGGGAATCAACAAGACCGTCCTGATCAGTACCTTACACAGACCGATGGACGTCCACATTTACCACCCGTACCGCCAGCCTGAAGGTAAAACCAAGTTGCTCGTCATTCACAACAACATGTAAATCTTAATCTATGTCTTGTCTGATGAATCTACGTTGCTTGTTCTTTAGTGGTCGGCCACCCCTGCCAAGATAACAATGGAGGCTGCAGTAACCTGTGTCTGCTCTCACCTGGAGGGGGCTACAAGTGTGCCTGCCCCACCAACTTTTACCTAGCAGCCGATGGCAAACAGTGCTTGTCTAACTGCACCGCAAGTCAGGTAAGCTAGCTTTACCGGCACACATACATGTAAATATATTTAATATGTATATACGACCCAAATATTTATATATGTTCATTTAATTAATTTCTTATTTTAAAAGTTACTGAACTGTATATCATTTCTGTGCTGTCCTGTTTTTCAATCTTACCCTGTTGCTGTTTAAACAACTGAATTTCCCCACGGGGATTAATAAAGGTCCATCTTATCTTATCTTAGCTAGAGGCTATTGGTTTAACCTGTATTAACTCATTATTCACTTTTTTATACTGATTTCTTTACAGTACATTTTTTCCAACATAAATAACTTGAAAAACATTTTCTTTTCCTTTTCTGTCCCTTCAAGTTTGTTTGCAAAAATGACAAGTGCATTCCCTTCTGGTGGAAGTGTGACACTGAGGATGACTGCGGGGACCGCTCAGACGAGCCTGCAGACTGCCGTGAGTGATGATTCCAGTATGACTACAATGATAGCGTTGGTTGTTGCAGTTTTGTTTGGTCTGCTTAATAATATGCTATGTTTTCTGCCCATAGCTGAGTTTAAATGCCGACCGGGCCAGTTCCAGTGTGGGACGGGCATCTGCACCAACCCGGCCTACATCTGTGACGGGGACAATGACTGCCAAGATAACTCTGATGAGGCCAATTGCGGTACACACCTTCATTAATTTATATAATATAATTGTTTTACTTGTGTGTAACTATAATAACCCATATCATTTTGGGTTTGTTGTCTCTCTCTTTCCAGACATCCATGTGTGCCTGCCAAGTCAGTTTAAATGTACCCACCCCAGTCGCTGCATCCCGGGCATCTTCCGTTGCAACGGACAGGACAACTGTGGAGAGGGAGAGGATGAGAAGGACTGTCGTGAGTCTCATTGTCCTTTTACTTCCCTTTGGCCTCTGTTATTTGTATTCTTTTGCCAGGCTGGTGGGAATGCCTGCCAATCGTGACTTTGGTCCAGTGTGTCTGTTTGTCAGTTTATCCATAATGGTCCAAAAAGTGATCTATAGAAATGGAAGCTTAAACATAACTTTGTCCCCGCTGTAGGAAATCTACTTTTTATAGTCACCTCTTTGACTTTTTGTCTTTTGCCTACATAGGCCACAGTTATACATACTGTATCTCAACATTCTAATGAGCAGATAAATTGCTGAACACTAAAATTGCTGAACACATCTCTGTCCATTTTGACCTTTCCTTTAGCAATACCCTTAGGCCAAATGATGTTGTATAATGTAATTGCCATGACATTTTCTGAGCACATTCATCCTCCACAGAGGGAGATGACATGAAGTGTTCTGCCATGCCATCCTGGTCAAAATTTACATTTTAACAGCTTTAACTGCAAGGCTGCAAGAAGAATAGCAAAAATAACCGTGTTATTATGTAACACACATAGCAGCCTCACGGGGCCACTTGCAGAACTTTAGCATTGCAGTCATTTGTATTTGGAAAATGTGTGTTGAGGTAGCAGTTTCTCTGTATTTAAGGGAGTTTCTATGTATTTGTTGTGCAGCGGAAGTGACGTGTGCCCCCAACCAGTTCCAGTGTGCCATCACCAAGCGCTGTATCCCACGGGTGTGGGTGTGTGACAGGGACAATGACTGCGTGGACGGATCTGATGAGCCTGCCAACTGCAGTAAGCCGCCACTCATATTCTCTTCTCTTCACAGCAAGAACACGGTCCTCTAATACTTCCTGACTGATAATATTGATTGGAGGCTCTTGATTTCAGCAAACAATTAAAATATAAATATAGAGAATATTTCACGTGCTATTTGAGTTTAGAATAAGAAACCACAGCCACAAAGATTATTTAGAGATTCATTATTAAGTTAGCCATTATTGAAGCTTAAGAATAACATTTCTATCTATTTGTTATCTGTTAATTCTGTAACAGAAACAGAGTGACTAAGCCTTTATTCCCATGTCTAGTGTCACCGTGTCTAATCCATTAAACCATTTATATTGCAGCTCAGATGACATGTGGTGTGGATGAGTTCCGCTGTAAGGACTCGGGGCGCTGCATCCCGGCCCGCTGGAAGTGTGACGGAGAGGATGACTGTGGAGACGCCTCGGATGAACCCAAAGAAGAGTGTGGTAAGGACAGGGTGAACGATGGGGAAAGGAAGTCAGTTACAGGGCCATGCTTGTACTAATCATGTCTGTTTGGTGCTCAGATGAGCGTACATGTGAGCCATACCAGTTCCGCTGTAAAAACAACCGCTGTGTGCCTGGCCGGTGGCAATGCGACTACGACAACGACTGTGGGGACAACTCTGATGAAGACAAGTGTGGTAGGTTCCCCTCTGTATTTTACTTTGCTCCTCACTCACATAGCCACAACCACAGTTCATCACAGTCTGCATGAAAGCAATTATTTATAACATGATATCAGATGCAATGAGTTTTAGTTAGCAATGTATCACCTTTCACGGTGTGTTTGTCTGTTATAATTACTCGACTACACGCATGGTTGAGACTTTGATTTCCATTTTTGCATTAATAAGTTCTGTGGCCATTTGCACACCTCACGTCATTTCATGTCTATTTTGCATTTCACACTGGCCTGTTGATGTGAGCCAGAGGTAGGTGTTTTCACAGTTTCAGCTCAACCATACACAATCTTAGCTACCCAGTCTTTCGTGTGCCCCCCCCCCAGCTTGTCTTTCGTTCTGTGATCCTTTTCCTTCCTTTTCAATCCCTACTGCTCCTCTAGCTCTTCCACAACATACCGCGTAGAGAATGTTGCACCATCCCCACCTGCACTCCATGAGTTATTACTGTCATATGAATTATCAGCCTTATAATATTCATGTATGTCAGACTCTCGACAGAGCCTCCTTTTCGGCTTTTTCCCTCCTTTCTCTTCCTCTTTTTCCTTCCCTAACGCCTCTTTGCTACTCGCCTTTCCTCTCCGTTCCTGCTCAATCATTCACTCTCAGTCTTCTAAGCTGCTTTCTCTCTATCCTCAGTGCCTCGTAAGTGTTCGGAAAGCGAGTTCTCATGCACAAATGGCCGCTGCATTGCCGGCCGCTGGAAGTGTGATGGAGACCACGACTGTGCTGACGGTTCAGATGAGGTATCCCTCAACCATATTACTCCTTTATTCTGCTTTGAACATTGACACACTAAAGGCACTTACAAGAATCATGCTTTGGTTTGTTACAGAATGGCTGTGATGTGAAGTGTGACAGTGATCAGTTCCAGTGCAAAAATGGCCATTGCATAGCCATCCGCTGGCGCTGCGATGCTGATGTTGACTGTTTGGATGGCAGCGATGAGGAGAAATGTGACACTGGAGGTAAGGAAGACACTTGTTGTATCTCCTGGATGCTTGTGTGTCAGCAGCGGATGTTCTGTGTTATTCATTCCTCTGTCCTGTTCTCTCACTGCCGTGTTTCAGTGGGTAGACACTGCCCCCTGGACGAGTTCCAGTGCAACAACACCCTTTGTAAACCCCTGGGCTGGAAGTGTGACGGCGAGGACGACTGTGGAGACAACTCAGATGAGAATCCAGAGGAGTGTGGTAATAATCTCTGTTCACAGTCAACAGTGTTCTTAAAAAAATTACCCAGTTGATACCCTTCCTAAAAGCAATCCCTCTCTTTCTTAATGTTTTTCCCCTTCTGTCCCTTAGTTAAATTCCAGTGCCCCCCAAGAAGGCAGTTCCGCTGTCATAACGATCGCGTGTGTCTACCTTTATCAAAACGCTGTGATACTGTCAACAACTGTGGGGACAACAGCGATGAAGTCAACTGCCGTGAGTTTGTTTATTCTTTTCTATTTCATGTTTTAAAGAGACTATAAACTGTAAAGTGAAATAAACAACTCAGGAAAGCATTGTATGCTAACTGCTATGTGATTATATATCCTTTATTGGGATCTAACCTCTCTGTCACTCCTCCAGCATCGACTCCTTCCAGACCAGTGTGTCAGAAAGATGAGTTCCAGTGCTCTAGTGGTCTCTGCATCAGCTCTGTCCTGCGCTGCAACTACTTCAATGACTGCGAGGACTATGGTTCTGATGAAATCAACTGCAATAAGAAAGGTGTGTTGCGTCTCAGTATAAATGTCTTAATAAATTGGTGGTTGTCCTTCTGAATGCATCTTATCTTGTCTTATACCACCTGTTCCTGTGCCTGCAGACACGGTGCTGAATGACTGCCGCAGTAACAGGACAGTGTGTGGAGATGGAGATGAAGCTCATTGCGTGGTGAACGGCACCGACTCTTTCTGCACCTGCAAACCAGGCTTCCAGTCCAATGGACGTAACCGCTGTGAAGGTACAGTTTTCCTTCACATACTCTACGTGTTTCAAATATGTATGTGTTATCACATGTTGCGGTGGCAATGTGCTCTTAAAACGACTTGTTGTAATGTGCTTCATGTGGCCTTGGGGCGTTTCACAGATAAGAACGAGTGCAAGCAGTTTGGTGTGTGTTCCCACATCTGCAACAACACTAAGGGTTCCCACAAGTGTATCTGCCACAAACACTTTGCCAGAATCAATGACACCTGCAAGGCTGATGGTGAGTGCTTCCCCCTCTAATAGACACTTAGTCTTTCAAGTTGATGTACTATATACCATAAAAACTCTGAATTCCAGTGCTTTTTCTCGCATCTCTTCAATCTACTACAATATCTGTTGGTTATTTTCCCGGCCTGACATGACTTTTTGTGCAATCCCAGCTCCGAGACAAGTGCTCTACATCGCTGACGACAGCGAGATCCGCAGCCTGGACCCTTCCATGCCAAACTGGCGCTATGAGCAGGTCTTCCAGGGCGATGCCAACGTGCGCATTGATGCCATGGACCTGCATATCAAGTCAAACCGCATTTACTGGACAAACTGGCACACAGGACGGATTTCCTCCTATGATTTGCCTTCTTCCTCCTCCTCCCCAAATAGCAACCGTAACCGACGCCAAAGTGAGTCGAGGGTCACAAACGTGGAGGTGAGTGTGTACAGTATTTATGTGCTTGTACCTAGGTGTGTGTCCAACGATGGAGGTTCTGAGTACTGTTTCTGTGTGTCGGTGGTCAGATCCCGGATCTGAAGATGCCCCGTGGCATTGCTGTGGACTGGGTGGCAGGGAACTTATACTGGACTGACTCTGGCAGAGACGTCATCGAGGTGGCCCAGATAAGTGGAGGACGCCACCGCAAAACGCTCATCTCCGGCATGATCGATGAGCCTTACGCCATTGTGGTCGACCCCCAGAGAGGGTGAGCGGATAGTGAGAATGCAAATGCAAAAGTATTTAATAGATAACAGCACTAATAAATTGAGCTTTCACATTTCTTTCATTAGGAAAATGTACTGGGCCGACTGGGGGAATCATCCCAAGATTGAAACGGCTGCAATGGACGGAACAATGAGGGAGACGCTGGTGGAAGAAAACATCCAGTGGCCAACTGGTAAAACATGCAAACACACATTCTCCACTCGAGGTTACAAATGTGATTTAGTGCGTTCAATTAAAAGTTGTAGCTCCTTTACACTACTCATATAATTGATCATTTAAAAATGATAAAATAAAACAATGAATATAAAAATATTTGTATACATACCTACAGAGACTTTGGTTTATAGTGGGAATGCAGGCAGTGCAAACGGCAGTGCTCTGTGTGGAACACCAGCTTAACTGAAATGTATTTTAATGGTGGGTGCGGAGGATGAGGATGAATTATCTAATGTATACTATTTAGTTTTATACTAAATGCAAAGTGTACATATGTTTCAATTCTAATCTTTCTGTTTTTTATTATACTACTCTCTTATCTTAAAGGTCTAGCGGTGGACTACTTCAACGAACGTCTGTTCTGGGCTGATGCTAAACTCTCGTTGATCTGCAGTGTGAGGCTGAATGGCAGCGATGTTGTTGTGGCTGTAAACGGCAATAAGAACAGTTGAGTGGCACATTCTGTAATCCATACCAATTGTGTTTTTGTATCCATGTGTCAGTTGCATTTTCCATTTGGGATGAAAATGCAAGAATGGACATTTTAGCAGGTATGCTGTCTGTGAATCTTCCATAACATGTCTCCTCTGTTCCTTCACAGTGCTCCATCACCCCTTCAGCATCGATATCTTTGAGGACTACATCTATGGCGTCACCTACATCAACAACTACGTCTTCAGAGTGAATAAGTTTGGCAAAGGCCCCATTGAGAACCTGACAACTGGAATGAACCACGCCACAGATATAGCTTTGTACCACCGCTACAAGCAACCTGAGGGTGAGTGGAAAGAGACACAACCCTTTACATCAGCAACTCTCAATAAAAGACAGAGAAGACAGGAGGACTAAAGCAGTTAGTAAGTGGTTTAATACAGATTTTCTCTCTGTTTTTGGCAGTGCCTAATCCCTGCGACAGGAAGAAATGTGAATGGCTGTGTCTGCTGAGCCCCAGCGGACCAGTCTGCATCTGTCCCAACGGACGCACACTGGACAACGGCACATGTGTGGAGCTGCCCACTCCCACCCTGTCTCCTATCTGTAAGTAAACACACACTCCCAAATACAAACGTATACACACACTGGGATCTGAACTCATTCTGTATGACTGAAAAACATCACCCCTGCAGCTCCTCCTAGTGGCCCCTGCTTGGTCCAGTGTCTGAACGGTGGCAGCTGTACCCTGAATGCCCACAAGCAGCCCAAATGTCGCTGCCAGCCTAACTATGGAGGAGAAAGATGTGAGATAGACCAGTGCAGGGACTTCTGCAAGAATGGAGGCACATGCACACCTTCCCATACAGGTAAGATATTGACATTGCAATCTGGTTTTGCCATATTATGTTATCTATTTTTTTTTGTGCATCGTAAATAAAAATAATATAGGCTAAAATAGGGCTTTGCAGGTGTTATGTCTCTGTTGGCACGGTAGTGTAACAATACTTTGCTTCCTCAGGTTCTCCTACATGTCGGTGCCTGAAAGGCTTTACAGGGCCAAACTGTAACCTGCACACCTGTAGGGATTACTGCAACAATGGAGGCAACTGTACAGTTAGTGCCGGAAACCAGCCGACCTGCAGCTGCCCAACTGACTTCCTGGGTGACCAGTGCCAGTACAGTGAGTGCTCCTACTATCTAGCAGACATGCAAGTTTAACAGTGTTCAAATACTTTTGATGCAAATGGAGTCGCTCTAATAGATTATCATGTGGCTGCTAGGCATTGCACTTACATGTTTGCGTGTGTGTGTGAGCAGGAAGCTGTGAGGGCCACTGCCTGAACAAAGGCACATGTCTTCAGAGTGAAAGTGGCTCCAAATTGTGCCGCTGTCTGCCTCAGTACAGTGGCAGCACATGTGAGGTGGACAGGTGTCACTATTGTCGCGACGGTGATTGTATCCCCAGCAACGGGTTTACATCTACAGGAGACTTCACGTGCCGGTAATACACATTCTCTACTCAACACAAACAGACACGCACACAAACAAACCTACATGTGCAAAGCTGTCTAGTTCTTCTTCATTGCTACTCACAATGTGTGTCTGTCTTCTTCAGCTGCACAGATGGAAGAGTCCAGCCCAGCTGTTACACATGTGATACAAATGAGTACTGTGCTAATGGACAGTGCTCTATAAACACCATCACACGCCTACCAGAGTGCAGGTGAGGAGCGGCGTTTTCACTCATAAATGTCATTAATTGAGTGTGAAAATATCCAATGTATGATTGCATGCATGCATATCTCACTTTGAGTGTGTGTTTGTGTGTGTAGATGTTCACCTGGGTGGGCGGGGCATCGCTGTGAGTCCATATCCAGCAGTGACAGTTCCTCAGGTTCAGGTGGACGTACGTATACACTCCCTTGACATCATTAATATAATTTCATGGAATGAGATAACATTCTCAATGCACGGTTCTTATGGTCTTATGTTTGTTTGTTTGTGTTTGTAGGCACAGCCTCCATAGTGATACCCGTGCTGCTGCTGTTGCTACTGATTCTGCTGGCTGCAGGAGCGTTGTTCTGGTATAGAAGAAGGATGAGAGGGTGGGTAACGTTTTCATTCAAAAGAAGAGACAGTAGAAACCTCTTTTTGCCTTTAAATTATCTCGTTCTTCCTTTCTCTCCCTTCTTTGGTCTGCCCTCTCCCTCTCCTCTCTGTAATGGCATCTCCTCTGCTCCTCAGGTCTAGTCGGCTCAGCAAAACCGGCTCCAGACGCTTGCGGTAACGGTTGCCAGGGTTTCACTTTCCTTCCATTTCCTCATTCAGTTCTGCATCCTGAAGCTCTCTCTCTCTCTGCCTCTCTTGTACTCATACATCTTGGTTTGCTGTGCAGTGTTTGGTCCTGTGGTAGATGTTGTGCCATTCTCTCAGATGTGAATGGGAGCTGTAGTTCATCCTTCTCCTACAGTATCTCCTTTTGAATGCCCTCTTCAGACTGGCTCAATGTCAGATCTATTGAAAAGATGCATTGAATAGATCTGTCATACTGTTGTCCATCATATTTTGCCATATTGTACTTACTGTACTGTGCTGTGGTTTGTATTGTGGTTTTGTCTCTCATATTGAGAGCTGGACAGTGTGTCAGCATTCTATAAAGCTCGGATTGGAAAATGTGAATCTAGCATGTACTTACAGTTAGAGACCAAAGATAATGCCGGTATTCGTAGCATACTTTGGGGGATCTATTGTGGTCCTAAAAATAGTGTGTACATAAACAATCCTGTATCCAGGTCCTCTGAGTCTGGATCTGTCATGGGCTACATGAATGCTGAGTTTGTGTCGGCGCCTGTGCTGTGGCTTAGTTCCCTCAGCCTGGATGGTGGTGGGAGTCATGTGATGCCTCGTCCCTCCCCTTATTATGTGGCTGTTCCCCCGCTTGCACTGTTAAGGCTTTAAAAACCTTCAATAAGAAAAGATATATGACTGTGCTTTTAATATTTTGCGTAGGGCTAAGGGCTTCCAGCACCAAAGGATGACAAACGGAGCAATGAATGTTGAAATTGGAAACCCCGCCTACAAGATCTACGAGGGCGAGCCAGAAGACGATGCTGGGGAGCTGCTAGACGCAGACTTCACGCTGGACCCAGACAAGGTAGAGAGAAATACCACACACAGGTATTTATATGCATATGTTGTAGTCTCTATTTATAATATCTAATGCATGATGTTTTGCCTTTTTCCAGCCCACCAACTTCACAAACCCAGTATATGCCACTCTGTACATGGGAGCACACAACAGCCGCAACTCTCTGGCCAGCACAGACGAGAAGAAGGAGTTGCTATCACGTGGAGATGAGGAGCCCCTTGTGGACCCCCTGACATAAACTGTCCATTGGCCTGGATCACGCTATTCCAAACAAACCCATCTTCTTACCTTTTAAAGAAAAACAAAACAAAACAAAAAAATCGATAAAAAGTGTGAGAGAAAATTGACAAAAAGTGTGAACACTGTATACAATGTACAAAAATGAAGGACTACTTTTGTATGTGATTGCAGTATTATATTTTGTTCTTTTGAGATTCCTCTGGTCAAAAATGAATAACATTTTCTATGAGAGATTTTTAATTTACACTTTGTCCCTTACCCTTTACCTAAATAGCCACTACCTCTGTGCAAAATGAAATGGAAACAAGAAAATCAGAAGAAAAGATGCTATCATTGGAGCAATTTTAATTTTTTATTTTTGTATGAATTGTATAGAAAAGAAAAAACATTGTTCCATGTCACCAGTGCCAACTGTTTGTCGTTTGTGTTGACTTTGAGTGGGAAAGGCAAAACTCAAAGTTCTCTAAATCGGTACATATGTTGTCTTGCTAGAGTTTTTTAGCAAGATTGTGTGAGACAGATTTGTGATAGCACCGTTTGTGTATAGCACATGTAAAATGTCAATACCAGATGGCAACTACAGTGTTTCCACATATTTTCTTCTCTGAGAACAATGTCCATGAAATGATTGTCTTCCTTGCACAGAATCCATATGCTACGGTATAGCGTATACTGTTGGCTTTAAGATGTAAAACAGGTATGTTTGTTTTTATCACATTTTATGTCAGCTAGAGCTCATGTGTTGCTATAGCGCGAGATCGAGAGGCGTTTGGTGTGTGCTTATGGAGATGGACAGTGAGGAAGTTGGTAATGGTTTGAACATTCCAGACAATGGTGGGTGGAGATTACAGATGTAAAGGGGTGGTATGAATGAAGGCCTTCTTGGGTGGGCAGTTTGCTGTGCTTATGACAGGGGGGCCTTAGCAGAAACAAGACTGATGGACTGTGTCATTTCTGCACCATTTAGTTGTGTCACAAGGCTCTTTAAAAGGAAAGGGAGACTGCAATTATGGTAAAATCGAGATGGGTCTTGTTTGTCTTTGTATTTCTCCAGTCCATTTTTTCTTTGGTGTGAAGACTAGATGACATCAATCTGGCTAGTTGATTTATCTTTTTACCTTTAGAGGATCAAGGTCTGTAGGTTCACAGCTTTTGTAATGACTCAGTTTTAAGTGCATTGTGTTCATTTGGTCTTTCTAATCTCTCACTCCTCTGTGCCCTGCTGCTGCTAATGCTACCATTCTGGTCGCTCTGACACGTCCTTACGCTCAGCCTGTCTCAAAATGCTGCTTACTGTCAGCCATATCTTAATGCATGTGGAAAGTAACACCAATCTTTAATGTAATTACAATAACAACCTTTTACTTTGCTTACCTGTCAGCAAGTGATATTTTATGCTGTTGTATATGTTTTGCCTTTAATTGAGAGAGAAGTACAATCATTTTACCTAAAGAACATTTTTGCAAAATCATACATGCATTTTCAGAATGTTTTTGATTAGTCCTTGTTTGTTTTTTTAATGAAAAATGACACATAGCTTTTATAGTACACAATGCATGGAGGCTCAGACTTTCTTCTGGAAAGAGAATAATGTTTAATTTTTGTTGGAGTACTTTACAAACTAAATAACAGATATTGTTATAAATAAAAAAATAAAAATTGTACAGAAAACAAGCAATTGGGTTTTGTGTTTTTGTTTCACAACATACTGATATATTAAAGAATGCTTTGATGAGACAGTGTGGGTTGGTTTAATCATTTATTTGGGAAATTGTAAATTAATTATATGTACTGTAGACAGTTTGATTTATATATGCCAATGTCATTCTTATACTGGTTAAGGTAATAATAAGGTTTTATTCTTGGGCCATTATTATTTTCCATCTACATGCTGCCACTAGGACATATCATACAAAAACACAATATTTTATATCACTGCTATGCTGATGATGCACAAATATGTGTACTGCAGTGATACAATAAATAAAATGCTGGATGGCACATCACTTTCTCCAGTTAAATGACAGAAATCAGAAGTACTCATTTCTGGCCATCCTAAACCAACCCCGTCCCCGCAAATACATCTCGGCTCCCTCTCCTCAAAGATAAAACCTGCAATCACAAAAGTTATTCAATCATGTTTTTATTAGTTACGTATCATTTAAAAAAAATCCAGTCCTTCATATCCCGGTCTGATTTGAAGACAGTCATCCACGCTAGTATCTGTTCTCGTCTCGATTACTGTTAGGCCGATAATCTATATTTTGCCTTAGACTTGTGCGAAATGCAAGACTTTAACAAATACCAAAAGGCTAGATCAAATCACCCTGTTTTAATCTCTCTTCACTGGCTACCTGCCTGTTTAAGAATTAATTGAGTATCTGAGGCTGGCAGAATCAGTGATATTGTTTAAATCACTTCTTAAAACTCACCTTTTTATTTAAGCTTTTAACTAATGATGACACCACTCTGTTTTACTCGACATCCATGTTTGAATTGTTTTTCCAAAAATGTAGGATATCCTTCATCAAAGAAAGTTATACTATATATGTGAAGATGATACATATTGATAAGCTATAAACTCAAAGCAACCCTTACTAATAATTAAAAGAATAACAAGAGAAGAAAAGACGGCATGCAATACAACAGTAAGAGCATTAAAGTAATGATTGTTTTACATAATTATTATTTTAGTGAGAAAATAACTCTCCTCTGTAACTTCATATGGAAGTCTTCACTCGATGCCTTTAGCCTTCAGCTCCTCTCTGACTATGTCCAGGTAGTGAGGGTCAGGATACCCAAAACTGAGGAAACAACAAAAGAACGATTAATATATTACATTTATGACTTTTCAGTAGACTTAACATCAAAAACAGTATATATTATAAAGAACTAAGAGATTTGGTTTCTGTACTTGTGTGGTCCTCCAAAAGTGTTTGTCTTGTGGTGAATGTTGTTCCAGGTCACCACGTCATCCATCCCTGATGTTCTGGACGTCCCAACTGTGAAAATTAGCTTCTGCTTAAACGCTTTCTCCAACAGGTGCAGCACTTCTCTGCCCTCTTTGTTGTCTGGCAAGTAGGCTGTTCTGTTACAAGAAGAAAGGTACTTTCCAGGATGTGGATGCTTTGCCTGCAAAACGAGTGAAATACAACAAACCAAGTCAGAAATAAACGCAATCGTTACATCATTGACACAATGTCTCCAAATATATAAATTAATACATTTACCGTCTGTGTTCCTTCTGGAATGATATAGTTGATGACGATAGTGCCGCAGCCTCGGTATCCATCGAGATGGAAGGTTCTCTTCTCCGTTGTCATTTTTCCATCGGGCTGGTCTCCCTCCATCATCCCAAATACATATTTGCAAAGAGGACAGGTGGGTCCCATGGATGCTTTTGACTGTTCCAGGCAAGCCTCACAAAACTCATGCTTACATTTAAGCTGTTTTTTATTTTGAAATGTATCCAAGCATATAGAACAGTTGTCCTCTTGATTATCTCCTGCAGTTGCTCCCCCTCCTGTGGGTGCTTCAGTGTTGTTTCCGGATGTTCCATTCCACACAGTTCCTCCCTCTGATGGACCAGCTTTGCTCAGGTTTTCTGGTGAACCTCTAAACCCAGTGGCACCAGCGAGATGGCTGAAGTTCAGGGGTGATGTGGCAATCTTCTGGTACAGATGAAGAAGGGCTCTGAGAGCGTGGCTCTCCATTGACGCATTTTCTCCAGATCTTTTGTAGCAAACTTTGACTTCAACTTTGCCCTGACTGATGCCGGATTCTTTAAAATCAACACCAAACTTAGTTTTGATCTTAGCTACTTGTTTTAGGTAGGAGGTAGTCATCAGCTTCCAGTAGTTCTCCTCCATGGTTAGCCCAGCATTGACCAGAGGGTCTTTGATGCTCATGCCAATGTTCTGTGATGTGTCTTGAGACACCTCTCCAGACTCTACAACAGAAGTGCTGATATTTAACATTTTCTGTGTTGACTTTCTGAAGGTATCTTGACTTTGTCTTGGCCCCCATGAGATAATTTCTTCAGGCGTTAGAGTGAACAAAAGCTTGCTCCCCTCCCTCTGAGCGATCTTCATCACTTCCTTCACCTCTTCTGGATCTACATGCTTGAGAGGAATATGTGAGGCTTCTAAATCGCTTGAGTACTTCTGGACGAGGCTTGTAAACTCAGAGAGAGCTTTTTCTGGGTTTCCATCTTTCGTCGCTTCAAATGTAATTTTTACATCTGCTGTGATTTTAACACCATTCTCTTTCTCTATACGTTCCACTTCCTTCTTGTAGATGTGGCTCACATACCAGAAAGGGCCCACTGAGAGACTGCATGCCACTTCTTCTTTCTTCTCTTCTTCTGTCGAAACTGAACTGCTCTGCTCCTCCGGTGGCACATCCTGAATAACATACAATGTTTCCGTGTCAACATTTTTATTTTCAATGCATTTCATTCAGTCTGATTAACTACACAGTACATACTACATCTGGTGAAGGAGGAAGGTTCGTTGATGGTTGTTGTGTCTCAAGCTGTAGCGGTGTCAGAGTAACAGACAGTATTGTGACTGTTTTCCCATCTTTCCCGTGCAGTGCTTGTCCACTAAGTTTCTGAAGCTCACTCGCAGGAATGGGTTTGCCTTTGAAATGAAGAGAAGACGAAAACATTGCATTAGAAAATATGCAAAATGTGAGTAATATAGGTCTGATGTAACAGTCAAAATATATACTCGTACTACCTGAAGCCGGTGTAAGACGTATCTCAACTTTATCATCTTCTGAGACTTTTGAAACTTTGAAATCTGCATCGAGATTGTTGATGTGGGACCAAGTCTGCAGAACTTTCTGCAGTTTGTGATGACATTTCTGCAGTGGAACATCTTCTGACCACTTAAAAGAGAGAATGGCTTGAACGCCATCTTTGTCCTGTGATGAAGCCATGAGAGCCTAAGAAACATGTTAAAGTTCATGTCACCATATTATAAAGCAAGATCACACAAAATCCTTCATGCTATTGAGCATTATAAATAGTGAAAAAGAATATTGTCATACTTTGGTTTTGCAAGTTTTCTATTGTATGTTATCTATACTATGATATTAGAAGTAATGTTTCAATGCCACTATCAATCAATCAATCAATCAATGTTTATTTATATAACCCAATATCACAAATGTTACATTTGTCTCAGTGGACTTTACAGTTTGTACAAAATATCAGTATGACAATACGACACCCTCTGTCCTTAGACCCTCACATCGTACAAGGAAAAACTTCCGGAGAAAACCCACAGTTTAAAGGGAAAAATGGGAGAAACCTCAGGGAGAGCAACAGAGGAGGGATCCCTCTCCCAGGACGGACAGACGTGCAATAGATGCCGTGTGTAAATTGAAAAGATAATACATTTGCAACATAGGTAGTCCAAATGTTTGGAAATATACACTATAGCAGGAAACAAACATAGAGAGGCTGAGTCCGGGCCTGTTTGCTATTGTATGACACGCTAAAGAAAGTACTTGCTGAGATCAAATGAAAAACGAGCTGATCAACTTATTTTACGTAGACATTGTTATAATAATCAAATCAATCCTAAAGTAAACAACGACCCTGTGCTCTCTCTTCCAAACAAACACACCTCACGCAGGTGAACAGGATTATAATTCCCCTGAGTGCCGCCCATATCCATGTGACCCAGAGCAACCAACCCATTGCGATCAAACAAATATCTTATACAAACAATTACCCAAATATAAACTCGTACAAAACGAATGTGTATTAAAACAAAATGCATTACTTTGTACGTTTCATGGCACCTACAGCCACTCTTTCCACACTCCACACCATTATTAAAAATCAAACATAGCACAAGGCTGGATAAAGTTATGTGTAAATGAATTTGTAAAAACAGACAGACAACACACACACACAACACACACACACACACACACACACACACACACACACACACACACACACACACACACACACACACACACACACCTTAGTGGACGTATCAGTTGTTGTTGAGAGGGAAGTCTGTTGGATATAACGTCGGGTTACGTATGGTAACCCTTGTTATATTAGCACAGGCGGAGCCCTCTACTGGACTCTATGGGTACTACCTTACCCTGCGAGCATTCTCCCACTGAGACTTCTATAGACGTAGCCGGCCTTGGGTGGGCCAGCTGAATGCGCGCGCATCACACCGTATAAAAGGAGGCCTCACCTCCTGACTATCATCCTACACCTCTCTTCAGCGAGCGGAATAGGACAGACAGTGCCCTGGGTAGAGGGCTCCGCCTGTGCTAATATAACAAGGGTTACCATACGTAACCCAACGTTATATCTCTCACAGGCTCCGCCCTCTACTGGACTCTATGGGTACAGTGGGTGGAGCCGCGATGTATACGCGCACTGTCGTCCAACAACAATATTCCACCCTACTGCCCCTGACCGGCTTTTATGGTCAGCAGCTGCTGCCCCACATTCTCCTTTAACCCGGTTGTAACCGAGGAGAAATCTGGGCTGTGGCTGACAGAGCACACCCTGCTGCGCTTACCTCGCAGAAAGTGTGCTCAAAAAACAGTGCCGGGGGACCGCCCCCCCGACCATAGACGGATGGGGAGAGCCCCCTCGGCCCCGAATGGGCTTACTACACGCCTGCCTCCCTGAATCCCTAAGGATAATCAATCAGAACAACCTTCTGGATCCGCACCAGTCTGGTTTCAAGGCAGGTCACTCCACAGAAACTGCTCTCATTGCTGTCACGGAGGAACTGCACACTGCCAAAACTGCATCCCTCTCCTCTGTCATCATCCTTTTGGACCTGTGTGCTGCATTCGACACGGTGAATCATCAGATCCTCCTTCGCACTCTCCAAAAACTTGGAGTTTCAGGCTCTGCACTTTCCCTCCTCACCTCATACCTGAAAGACCGTACCTACAGGGTGACTTGGAGAGGGTCTGAGTCCGACCCTTGTCAATTAACTACGGGGGTCCCTCAGGGCTCTGTTCTTGGTCCCCCTCCTCTTCTCCCTGTACACAAACTCGCTCGGATCAGTCATTAGCCCGCATGGTTTTTCTTACCACTGCTACGCTGATGACACCCAATTAATTCTGTCCTTTCCCCGCTCAGAGACCCAGGTCGTTGCAACGCATCTCTGCTTGTCTAGCTGACATCTCTCAGTGGATGTCTGCTCACCACCTCAAGCTCAACCTTGACAAGACTGAGCTGCTCTTCCTCCCGGGAAAAGATTGTCCCACTCTTGACCTAACAATCAACATCGGCACCTCAGTTGTTTCCCCGACTCAGACTGCAAGGAATCTGGGTGTGACCCTAGATAACAACCTGTCCTTCACTGCAAACATCGCTGCTACAACCCGTTGCTGCAGATACACGCTTTACAACATCAGGAAGATACGTCCCCAGCTGACTCAGAAAGCGACTCAGGTTCTGGTCCAGGCTCTCGTCATCTCACGCCTAGACTACTGCAACTCCCTCCTGGCTGGTCTACCTGCATGTGCCATCCGACCTCTGCAGCTCATCCAGAATGCAGCGGCTCGTCTAGTCTTCAACCTTCCTAAATTCTCCCACACCACTCCGCTCCTCCGCTCCCTTCACTGGCTTCCGGTAACTGCTAGAATCCACTTCAAGACACTGGTACTTGCTTACCATGCTGCGAATGGATCTGGCCCTTCCTACATCCAGGACATGGTTAAACCGTACACCCCAGCGCGTGCACTACGCTCTGCATCAGCCAAACGACTCGTTGCGCCCTCGCTGCGAGGGGGACCCAAGTTCCCATCGGCGAAAACACGTGGGTTTGCTGTCCTGGCTCCAAGATGGTGGAATGAGCTCCCCATTGACATCAGGACGGCAGATAGCTTGCACATCTTACGGCGCAAACTGAAAACTCATCTCTTTCGACTCCACTTCGAGCGTTAGAACTATTAACGAAGCACTTTTATACTAATAAAGAACTGGCTTACCTAAAGCCAGTTGAGTAGCACTTGAAATGTTTGGCTCTATGAAACCTGATGTACTTATATGATTCTGTTTTCTTCAAGGTTGTGTCTTCCTGGTCGAATGTACTTATTGTAAGTCGCTTTGGATAAAAGCGTCAGCTAAATGCAATGTAATGTAATGTAATGTAATGGATAACAGGGAGAGCGTCAGAGCCCACGTCCCACACTCAAACACTGACCCCGTGCAGAGTGTGTGGACTAAAGTGTGGAGGGCTACCCCCCTCCTGCCTCTCGACAGGAGGAGAGTAGTCCTCCAACCCTGTAAGGGCCCAGTGCGCCCCCCCCCGCCCCTCCCGGGACCCTCAGAAGGCCCGAGAACAGCGAAGGCGCATTACGTCCGGGGAGGGGGTCAGATGCCAACTGACCCACAACCCCCCTCCCCCCTGTAAACAGCTCGGGTGCACCGACAGAGCAGTTAACTCGGACACTCTTTTGGCTGACGTTAAGGCAAGAAGCAAAGCTGTTTTCCACGACAATGCTTTCAGAGAAGAGAGCTCCAGAGGCTCAAACGGCCCGAGGCCAGAGCCTCGAGCACTAGGGGCAGGTCCCACTGTGGGGTGGAGGCGTGCACTACTGGGCGCAGCCTCCTGACCCCCTGTAAAAACCGCGACACCAGTGGTTGACTAAAGGCTGACCTGCCGCCAAATCCCTCATGGCAGGACGAGATGGCTGCTGCATACACTTTCACTGTTGAATGCGCAAGCCCTCTGTCCACCAGTAACTGTAAGAAGGATCAAATAGAGCCTAACTCACAAGATAGGGGCTCTATTCTCTGCTCCTCACACCATCGCTGGAATCCTAGCCACTTTGGCCTGTAACAGGCTGTGGTGGATCCAGCTCTAGCTGCCTGGATAGACTGAATAACACTATCAGACAATCCACCCTGTCTCAGCCTGTCCCTCTCAGGAGCCAAACCTGGAGAGGACGGCCGAGAGTGGGTAACGCCCCGATTGCACCTGCCTCTTGAGACATCGCCCCCCAGAACTGGGGAACCGCCCAGGGCTGGCCCACCTTCATATGTGTCATCTCTGAGTACCACGGTGCCCCAACGCGATCCGGAGCCACTAGGATGACTGACAGACGTTCTCGCCTCACTCTCCTCAGGATGGGGGAGAATGAGACGCAGCGGTGGAAAGGCGTATAGCAGCTTCCTTGGCCATGGCTCGTGTGCAAACGCGTCCACCCCCAAGGGTGGGTCGTCGCTCCGAGCCACGGAGAACCACAGGGCACAGTGGCTGTTTCGCCGGCTGGCGAACAGATCCACTTCCGCTCTCCCGAACTGGGCCCAGATTTGCTTCACCACCCTCGGGTGAAGCACCCACTCGCCTGGCAGGGGGCCGCTCCTCGACATGAGGTCGGCCCCTCTGTTCTCCAGTCCCGGGATATGGAGGGCTCTCAGAGATAACACCACCTCTGAAGCCCATAACCACAGTTCCTCTGCTGTGGTCAACAAGGCGGCAGATCGAACTCCGCCCTGCCTGTTGATGTAAGCCACTGTGGTGCTGTTGTCGCTCCTGACCATTACATGCCTCCCTTGAATTAGGGGCCTGAAATGCTGGAGGACTAACACTACCGCCCGTAGCTCTAGGAGGTTGCTGTGTCGAGACTCTGTTAGAGCCCAGCGCCCACCTATAGCCCTCTTCAGGCAGGTCCCTCCCCATCCTGTTCTGGATGCATCGTGAACACTGTGATGTAGGAGGTCACCCGTCCCAGTGGAAACCCCCTCCGGAGGTGATCCGGAGACCCCCAAAACCGGAGGTTGCCCTCCACTGAGGGGGGGATGGTCACCAGCCGCCGCCTGTGCCTCTTGGGATCCAAGCGCAGGCTGGAGAACCACCTCTGCAGGCGGCGCATATGTAGTAACCCTAACGGGACCACCATGTGAGCAGCCGCCATGAGACCCAATGTCTGCATGACAGTAAAAG